AAGGTGTCAGAAAATGAGGATGAAGAAGAGACTGAGAAAGAAGGATTGAAGATAGTGTGGGAACAAGACTTAGTAAAAAGAATAAATGATGAAGAATGGAGGAAGATGTGAGGGTTTTACGATTGATGTCGGCGAGAATAAGAGAAAATATTTTCAAATGGGGATAAGATGGTATTTAACACCGACAAAATTGAATATTAATGCTAGTTATCTGAATGTCTGTTGGAAATGTGAGAAGAAAATTGGTACATACCTTCCTATGTGGTGGGAATGCGAAAAAGTACAAAGATTTTGGAAACTAATCTTTAAAGAACACATGTGAAAAAGGTATAGAATTTAATCTTGAGATAGCTCTGTTATCAATGTTTGTGAATGTGGAATATGATAAGATGGCTAGAGAATTGATTACCAGTTTATTAACAGCAGCCAGATTAATAATAGCTAGGAACTGGAAATCAAAGTCTGAATTTCAAATGGAAGAATGGTATAATGAAATATGGAACATTGCTATAAATGACAAGTTAACTTGGAGAGATTAAAAGAATAATTTATATGATATATGGGGCAGATTTCTTGAATATGTGCTAACAAGAGGAAAAGGGAAAGCTCCAAAACAAGAATGAATGTCGTTCTGGAGAAGACGACAATAAAAGAAGAAGAAAAATATAGATAGAAGAAGAAGAAGGTTACTGCATGAGGTCCCAACTAGGGTGGTGGGGATCACAGTCTATTTGTATTTTGGTTTATGTATTTTATGTTTATGTTTAGTTTAAGAAAAGAAAAAGTAAGAATATGAGGAAGTCAAGGTCTTGTGAGATTTCCAGATAAAACAGACAGACACCTTGAACACAACACATTAGACACAGTAGTAATAGAATGAAGAAAGGTCTGGATCATTGACATTGCAATTCCAGGGGATGCCAGAGTTGAAAATAAAGAATTGGAAAAACTAAGGAAATACAGATATCTGGCAATCAAACCATGTTGCTTGTAGATAAAGCACACTTCAATGGTCCCCGTAGTCATTGGGGCTTAGGGGAACAATTATAATGAAATTTCACAGTGTTACCGTGTTTCCCCGAAAATAAGACAGGGCTTATTAATTTTTGCTCCAAAAAAACACATCAGGGCTTATTTTCAGGGGATGTTTTATTTTTTCCATGTACAGCAATCTACATTTATTCAAATACACTCATGTCATCTTCTTCTGATTCCTGCACAATGATGGATGGCAAGGTTTCACTTAACAAGGGCTTATTTTTGGGGTAGGGCTTATATTACGAGCATCTTGAAAAATCATACTAGGGCTTATTTTCAGGTTACGTCTTGTTTTTGGGGAAACAGGGTACAAGCAGTTGCAGATCTCAGAAATAAAACCATCAGAGCTACAAAACCCAGCATACATACTGTGCTGATATTTAAAAGATACTTAGGTTTTTGGTTAAAACTTGTATCTGTTATATAATACCAGTCAGTTTTTTAATACTTTTGATTGACTGTGCCAGGTAATTTTTAAATATTTTTGAACAACAATGATGTAAATCTCCCATTTAGAATATATATAAAAAAAGTGTTTTTACTCTAGGAAAAATATGGTGGGGGCAGCCATTAAAATGACATACTTGGGCAGTTTATAGATACTAACTGAAATCTTTTTGTGCAGTTACGCAAATGGTGTAACTTTTGGAAGCCGATTGCCGTAAGTTAAGAAATGTCCATAAACTGGACATTTCTTAACTTACGGCCAAGAAGCCCGAAAAACCCACAACAACCATTATATCCCGGCCGTGAAAGCTTTCACGGATACATTGTCCATAAACTGTTTGCTGACCAAGTTGTGAGATTTGGTGTGCACTTGGTAATATTTGTGGAGATTTTTTTTAACCTGTGGAAATTTCCCTGCAAAAGTTACACTATTTGGGTAACTGCACCACAAGATTTCAGCCATACGTAAATAAAATTCATTATCCTCAGTTTCTATTTCTGGTAGAGCGATTTCGCTGCTTATTTTTTAAGACACTGAAGACCCAAGTGATCAGATAGCAGCTGGTGAGTTGATACTGTGCAGCCCATAAATTTTTATATCATAAGGTATTATGGTAGCTTTGTGGTGACTGACATAAATGTTTGCAAGCAAGATGCATTTAATTTTTAAAAGAGGCTGAAATGTTAGGAGACGTCAGTGCAATTATGGGCAAACTTGCATAGAATTACCACGAACTACCCGGTTACGCGTATATAGAATGCCAGCTTGTCTATGGGTTGTTGATTGAATTTTTTGCCCCCTTAGTAGAGGATCTGAACCAACGTGAGTCTATTTTTATAGCCCTGAAAGATTCTAGGCTCCTGGTTTCATTTTTCTGTGCACTGATCGCGAGTTTGCTTTTACAATAATGAGAAAATGTTTTGATGGTTGTTGCAGGTCTTTTTCAGGCTGTCTGGCCGTGTTCTTGAGGTTTTTCTTCCTAACGTTTCAGCGGGAAGAAAAACCTCAGGAACATGGCCAGACAGCCCGAAAAACCTACAACAACCATCGTATCCCAGCCATGAAAGCCTTCGAGAATGCACATAAATTGTTTTGTCTCTCATCCTTAATCCCGGTCCTCTAACACACTTCATGACAAGGTGCAATTCATACCACGATCTCATCTTTTGTTTCTGTTACTACCTTTCCCCCCAAAGTAAGTGTTCTGTTCTGTGTCCAGCAAACAGGTTGGGAATTGAAAGCCAGGGCAGGATATTTGCTCCAAGACCCATGATAAAGTATCAGAATTTCCTATCTCTCCTTTTCATTCTTCAGCTAACTGGAAAGGTCAGTAAAGAACGGAAGGTGGTCAAGCCCAGGAATTCTTAAATTCCAGCCTTAAGAACCTTGTGGGTTCAAGGAGTACAACAATGGGTTGATTGATTCATTCCCCCCCACACACAAAGTGTTGGCACCATGGTGAATGGGTTTTCTTGTGAACTTTGTGCAGGCAATCGGCAAGAAACACTAGAAAGCAAATTTTTAGCGTCCAGACTTCTGGGGAGTAAAAATGCTGAGCCCTTTTAAGTAAATTGAGACATGTGTTACAGAGCGTAATGCCTGAAGGGAGGGTGCTCGAGACTTATGAAAGATAAAGGGAGAAGGAGAGAGAGAGAAGGAGAGAAAATGGAAACCCTGAGTTCTCACTGTTGTGAATTGCCACTATCTTTGATTTTTAAAAAAATCATTTGTATTAAAGAGTAGAAAGATAAAGGGAGAATGAGAGAGAGAGAGAGAAGGAGAGAAAATGGAAAGCCTGAGTTCTCACTGTTGCGAATTGCCACTATCTTTGATTTAAAAAAAATCATTTGTATTAAAGAGTAGAAGGTTGCATTTAAAAAAAGAAAACTGTATTAGGATAGGGAGAGTTAACTACCAGATGTTTCAAGTAGTGAGACGGTCCAGGTAATTGCACCAGACACATATTCTGGAATTTCTGAGTATCCCTGGTCTCCTAGCGGTATATACGAGTCTCTGTTTGAATATGTACAGGGGCAGTCCATTTGTGACTGAAATGTGGGTTCTTTTCTTTTTCTGCCGTGCTCCCAGGCTTCTGTGTCATAATTGTGTAGTCTGGGGTCCTAGTGAAACTTTCCAAAACAAATCAACATACCCTTCTAGCAGAATAATGCAGGATCGTATTAGTTCCCTTGCACACACAGTAACCCCACTGGATGGGAAAAAAACTGGCTTGAACCCGTGCAAGGAGACACTGGATCTTTCCTTGAGCCACTGCTATTAATGATAAAACAACTCACACGGTGGTTGTGTAGATTTGACTGCTGGCCAAAAGCAATACTGTTTCTAGAAATTAATTCCTTAACTTACTGTGTAGGAAATGCCCCAAACTTGGAAAAGTCACTTCTTTATTTTTCTCCTATAAATCCCAGAATCTCTCTGTGGTGTCCTGGTGACCTTGGGAATTACCGTCTTGGTTCCCATCCTCGGAATGCAGTTCCCAGAAACTGCTGGCCAGGGTTTCTGGGAGTTGCAGTCCAAAAATAAAAATAAAAAAAAGCACCAGAGTTACCCAAGGTTGGGAGCCACTGGAATAGAAAGAAACATTTCTAAGCCCTGGGACGTTTCCCTCGCATCTGTACCAACAGCTTAATTTTTAGAATGGTAAAGGTAAAGGTTCCCCTTGACAATTTTTGTCCAGTCGTGTTCGACTCTAGGGGGTGGTGCTCATCCCCGTTTCCAAGCCATAGAGCCAGTGTTTTGTCCGAAGACAATCTTCCGTGGTCACGTGGCCAGTGCGACTTAGACACGGAACGCTGTTACCTTCCCACCGAGGTGGTCCCTATTGATCTACTTGCATTTGCATGCTTTTGAACCACTAGGTTGGCGGGAGCTGGGACAAGCGACGGGCGCTCACTCCATCGCGTGGATTCGATCTTACGACTGCTTGGTCTTCTGACCCTGCAGCACAAAGGCTTCTGCCGTTTAGCCCGCAGCGCCACCACGTCCCTTTATTTTTTAAATTTTTTTTTAATAGAATGATGATTCACTTAAGTAATAACGGGTCTCAGTGGGTGTTATTTCTGAAGAAGCATTGAGTGGCACCTGCAATTTATATATCTCCCTCCATTTGTGGAAGGAGAGTCTCCTTGCGAGCAACAAGAAACAGGCAGTGAACTGCACTGAACTTCTAAAAAGGCCATCATTAATCTTCGAACCGAGGGTGAAGGCAAATTTTTATCCCAGGTGGGATTTTTTCCTCACATTAAATTAAATGCATTTGGCGAGAATTCTTTGAGAGCAAACTCATTTCCTCGGCGATTACTCTACTTGGCTGATTGCTAATAGTTGCACTCCCTAAAAGGTCCGATAGGGGGCAGGAGAGAGAAAGATGGAGTGATTACCTTGCTCAGGTGGCGCCCGCAGGTCTCTCAAAAGGTCATTGAACAAGCGTCGGATTCTACCGAGAGCATTGCATGCCTCTTCAGCTCACCCTCACTTTCTCTCTCGGTTTCAGGATGCTGGATGAACTCCCAGATTCAGTGACACAGTGGGCCCCTTCAGGAACTGACTGTGGTAAGTGCAGCTACACGCAAGGGACGGCTGGTAGGTCTTCCTTCGGGGAGCAGGCAAAGCAAATTGTAGGTTTTCAGGGTTCAGAACCATCTGGATTTCTGCTTCATTGCGTTGGTCAAGTAGCTTTTTTAGTTTTTTGTTTGGAGTAAACAATAGGAAGGATGCCAACAAACTGGAACATGTTTTAGAGCAATGGTCCCCAACTTTGGGCCTCCAGATGTTCTTGGACTTCAACTCCCAGAAAACCTAGCCAACAGAGGTGGTGATGAAGACTTCTGGGAGTTGTACTCCAAGAATATCTGGAGGCCCAAGGATGGGGACCACTGTTTTAGAGTATATATTTTAATTGTATTTTAACTGTTTTATCTTTTTTACTGTAGTTAAATTGCTGTAAGCCACCCAGAGACCTTTGAGTAGTGTGGGCGGCATATAAGTTGAATGAGTGAATGAATGAATGAATGAATGAATGAATGAATGAAGTTCAGAGGAGGCCAATAAAGATGTTTATGGGGCTGGAAACCAAGTCCTAGGAGGACAAAGAACTGGACATGTTTATCCTTGAGAAAAGAAGACTGAGGAGAGATAAGATAGCATTTTTCAGATACCTGAAATATAGTCATGCAGAGGAGGGGCAGGATCTGTTCTCGATCATCTCAGAGTGCATAATAATGGGCTCAAGCTACAGGAAACCATATTTAAGCTGAATAGCAGGAAAAACTTCTTAACTGTTAGAGCAGTGCAGTAATGGAATCAATGACCTTGGGAGGTAATGAGCACTCTAAAGCTGGAGGCATTCAAGAGAAAATTGGACAACCATCTAGCTTTTTCATTTTGGCTGCATCTGGTCTGGTGAAAAAGCAGCAACAGCAGTGTTCAAGAGAAAATTGGACAACCATCTGTAGCTTTTTCTTTTGGCTGCATCTGGTTTGGTGAAAAAGCAGCAACAGCAGTGCGCATATGACAGAGGTTGTATACTTCCGACTGTGTTAAATGTCCACTGTGCTCTAGGTCAGTGGTTCTTAACCTTTGTTACTCGGATGTTTTTGAACTGCAACTCCCAGAAACCCCAGCCAGCACAGTTGGTGGTGAAGGCTTCTGGGAGTTGCAGTCCAAAACTCCTGAGTAACCCAAGGTTAAGAACCAGTGCTTTAGGTCACCAGTGTGGCGCATGCACTTCTTAAGTATCAGTGGCCTGTCGTGAGTATATAAAACTTGGGCAATTACTTTGAGAAATTGATTGGTTCCTTGTATTCGTGAAGGCTTTCACGGCTGGGATCTAATGGTTATTGTGGGTTTTTCAGACTCTTTGGCCGTGTTCTGAAGGTGGTTCTTCCTAAAGTTTCGCAGTCTCTGGTGAAACAACCTTCAGAACACAGCCAAAGAGCCCAAAAAACCCACAACAACCATTGATTGGTTCCTGTTACTTGCTGCAGTATTTGATATGTAATTCACCATCATTAATATCATTTCTCCATTATTGTTGGACTCGATGGCCTTATAGGCTCCTTCCAATTTTACTGTTCTATGATTATTCTAATAACATCGAACGGGTGACTCACTGTATTACTCTTGTAGTAACAGAACTGTATTTGCGTTGAAAATCTCAGGATGTGTAAAATTCAGAAAATGTCCACTGCAAATACCTCCAAAATTCTTTTAATGAGAAAATTTTTTGAAGTGTTATCTGAAGAGTGGTTTGTTGTCCATGAAATCTCATGCTGGGATAAATTTTTTAGTCTTACAGGGACTGCAATACTTTTGTATTTTTGCTCAAATGGAACATGACTTGCTGCATCTAATATAACAAGCCCTGTGTTCCTTCACCTTACATTATTTTTGAATTCTCATTTTGTTACCTTTTGCTCTGTGTATGGGCCATACATAAGGGATGTAGAACATTTATTTATTTGATTTATATACAACCCATCTGGCAACCCAGGCTATTCTGGGCAGTTTACATGGTATAATAAAACAGAATATAAAACATGCCTTTTAAGTGCTTTTCCTCCACATACACCTGTATTTCTTTTTTTAAAAGTCCCAACTCTTTCATACTCCATCCGATGATCAAGTAACTTCTTGTGCCATCATCTTAATTCAGCTGATGACACTCACTCCTGTAGGACATCACAACAGCCGGCCTTGAGGATGACTTAAAAATGCAAATTCAGTGCCCATTTTACTGATTTTGCACTGAAAGATTTTTAAGCATCTCCATGATACAGTTGATAACCATAATCCATGAACACACAATTGCATTTGCTAGGTGAATTGGGCACATAACAATGTTTTCTAAAATGTGCTTCTTCTTGACCTAAGAAACATTTCTGGGTTTCTCAAAAATCATCTTCATTAAAAAGCAGAATGCTGGACAGAATGGTTGTTTGGTGTGATCCACTAGAGTTCCTATGTTCTTAAGCCTGGAGCCAGCTGACCTCAAATGACCTGAAAATGTTGTTTTACAGGAGAAATAGCCAGGTTTTTGAAAAATGTATCCGGCTTGGCCTACGATGAAAAACCCGAGTATGAAACATTGAAAAAAATCCTTTTGAGCGGCCTGGAACAGAAAAGACCCTGTTACAACGGCGTGATGGATTTGACCACCACTAAAAGCATACGAGGGGGATGTGCTGGTAATCCCAGGAAGGTACATAAATAAACAGGACAGGTCAAATTGAGATGAAACACAAGTTCTAAAGCATAGTTAACCAATAAAGCCAAGTCTTGTATTTGGGGGCATATAATACGTATGGATGTCTGACATTTGCTTAAAAATATAAGTTAATTGCCAGAGAGGGAATGATAGCAGTTACTTTAAAACAGGGGAAATAGTCTTTTTCTAATTTTCAGAGCCATATTATCAGTGATCATGTCTCTTTCTCTTTCTGCCATGCTGTATTTTTTCCCTGCTTTGTCCCTTCCTGGCTGAAGGAGGGAAAAGTTGGTCTTGTCTCAGATTAGGCTGGCGGCCACATGGTATCAGTCAGAGGTGTGCTAGGATTATAGGATGTCCACACCTGCTTTTTTATTTCAAATTAATTATACCGACTTAATTCAGTGTAGTACTTTGTGCTGATGCTCACTCCTTGTTCGTGTGTCTTCCTAAGGAAATATCTGACCATCTAAGACCTTAATTCTTCGGATATGTTCACACTTGGGTTGTTGACCTTCAAGGATTGGGGAGCCTGGCATGAGACCTGTGACACACAGTTCTTATCCTAAGTCAGGGGACAGGGTGGATAAAAAAAGCAATGATTTTTTTTAATTGATTTAAGTCACTATTTAATTTTTTTAATGAGGTTTTTTTTTTAATTTAAATTCTTAAAAACATCAGGCTGATTTTACTGAAATCATGGTTTAAATCATTTTAAATCCCCCTTTCCCGGGGGACTCACGTCTGTTTGATTGGCGCTTCCTAGCGGGAGGCAGGAATGTATGCATTCATCTTGTAGGGAGCAGCCCTGAACGTCAGCTCCTCTTTAAAGATCCATTTGAAAACTGAGTTGCCCTTCTGGGTGCAAACTTTCCCCATCTCTTGCACGCTCTTCATATATTTGTTCTTGCTTTCCAAAGTCACTTTCCTATAATCTTGGCTTTCGGTATACGACTCAGAGGAAATAAGTTCTAACTCTTTACAATTGTAGCATACTTTGGTTTCCACCTTCCGGGTTGTCCAGTGGCATTGCCTTCTTTTAAATCCCTAGGCTGAAATCCTGCTGCACATTTAGGGAAATAACTTTAAGAAGCTAATTGCTGTTAAGAAATTTCCATAGAAATCTGTTGAAGCCCAAGTTACATGACAAAGTACAGTTGTGGCCCACTTTACGATTGCCTCGCATTATGATGAAACCGCATTACATTTTTGCGATTGCTTTTGCGATCGCAAAACGATGATTTGAATAGGGTTTTATGGCTTTGTGATTATCGGTTCCCTGCTTTGGGAACCAATTTTTTGCAAAACGACGATTTTCCAAGAGCTGAATGGCAGTTTCATAATGGCCGCCGGGTAAATAAAATGGCTCCCCGCTGTTTTCTGGGGTGGATTCCTCGCAAGACAGCCACCGAAAATGGCCGCCCTATGGAGGATCTTCGCTGGACGGTGAGCTTCCAGCCCATTGGAATGCATTGAAGGGGTTTCAATGTGTTTGATTTGGCTTTTTATTTTTGCATTACGACATTTTCGTTCTACAGCAATTTTGCTGGAATGAATTAACGTCGTAATGTGAGGCACCACTGTATACAACACATAATGCCTTCTCAGATTTCTTAACTCATGACAATGTATGTCTAGAACAGTCGTTCCCAAATGTTCTTGGACTAAAACTCCCAGGAGCCATCACTACTAGCGGTGGTGGCTGGGATTTCTGGGAGATGTAGTCCAACAACATCTGGGGACCCAAGATTAGGAATCACTGCTCTAGAGGTTATGCCATTTGTGTAACGACACAACAGTATTTCAGCCTTTGTTTTAATACACTTGCACTAACATGATAAGGAGATTTACTGGTTCTACTTAGAAATGTGTGAGTGTTGTTTGCCTTCTGCCAAATGGATGAGCCCAAAGACTTTGTGGATGCTGTTCAATAAGGTGGTGTTAAGATGTCATGCATATTTAATATTCCAAATGAACTCCGGATTGCGGCACTCCTACAGGAGCCAAAAAATGTGGGATGAAAACTAATGGGACTGATCAACGGCGAGATGAATGGCGATTCAAATCGCAGTGCACAGATGGTTCTGATTTGCCCGAGTTTTGTAGCTGCTGCAACTGAAGACATAAAATAGCCGCCTCGTCATAAATTAGCTCTTTGGAAGCCAAACCTTGGCACCAGCGCTTTACAACCTTCAATTAGTAGCGAAAGAAGTATCTGAATGACTCCAGTATTGACATCTGTAGGTCTGCATAGTAATCATTCCTAATAGAAGAGAATCTCTGTTTGAGGGGCTTTTGCATGGCTAATTAACTACCAGTGAGAATATGTAATTTTTTCATGATCTCCCGATTGTCACCTTTCTCTCATGATACAATTACATTTTATTGTAGCGAGCGCCTTCGGAAACCCAATTGTCAGCACTATTTACGTTGTGCGGAAAAGCAGAACAAAAGTTCATGTTTAATAAAAAGCCACTGGATTTTGATCTTGGTAATTACCAAGACTTTTTTTCAGAGTTTTATAGACTTTGGTGGATGGTGGGGTTTTCTTTGTTTTGTTTTTTAAATCGCTTTTACAACAAAAGCAGAAAAGCTGTTGCTTTGACAATAGCTGGCTTGCTGTTGTGGTCACCATTTAATCTATGCTAATTTGAGCCATTTCTTTATGTGTCTGCAATTTGTCGTTTTCTAAAGTTAATTGAAATATATAAGCTTTTCCCCCCCTTTAAACAAAAAGGACCTACTCTTTTCCATTTCTGATTTTCACCAGTTTGATCTCTCTTTTTTTAAAACTCTAGAAAGCAGATTAAGAACTAGACATGGACAGCTATTAAAAGCTGAGCGAAAGCTTTCATGAAACTGTCCAAAAGTCAATGCTACACATTGTTTTCACTGTGAAAGTGAATGTGTGCCATAGTTTCTCAAGCTGCTCCAAGCAGTTGGATAATGATTATTAACAGTAATAGCAATAATATTTGTGATTCATAGGGTCACTTTATGTGACCCAGGGACCTGGGCATCTCTAACCAGATTTCCAACATCTTCTTGGAAATGCATGCAGTTCTGCAAACTTCCCTTTGTCTGAAAGGTGGTGTGCCATACAACAGTAGATGGATGGTGTTGGACCTACAGAAAGAAGCCCAAGAGCCTTGGGAATACAGCCTTTAAAAAAAAAAAAGCAATCTAACCAGTTGTTGGGATTAAGGACCTGCTTAGGCATGTCCAGTGGTTTTTTTCTTTTAAACATATATACCCTTCCTATATAATGTTATATATGCCTTTGAAAACTTCCCTTTGTTCCAAAAGCAGCTGCTTATGCAGGATGGGAGTGTGGGGGATTATGTTCCAGATATTTATTTGTTCGTACAAAGTATTAATCATTTTTTTCTATCCACCATGTCCACTAAACAATACATTAAAAATACCTGATTAAAATATAAGTAAAGCAAAATGAAAACAAGCCTAAATCTTTTCCTGCCTCTCCCTCTGCAGTATCTTGGGCTTATAGAAATGGTGCCCTAATAGGTCTCTCGTTGGCCTGTGCTCACGATTTCTGCAATCAAAGGCTGACAGGCAGCCAAACTGTGTCCTTTTCTTTTGCACAGTCTTCAGTTTGTCACATATGACAACAGGACATTTTGGCCATGGCAAGTACAAGTGATTGAATGGCACAAGCCTTCTCTGGACAGGCTGCCAACCTTACTAAATGCCAGTAAGGAAGAGGATAGATTACAATGTAAAAGGAGAAGATTGGAAACAAGATATGGGAGGCTGATGATCATGATCATTTAAGCCAGGGGTCTCCAAACTACAGCCCGTGGGCCACATCTGGCCCGCTTTGCCTTTTTATCTGGCCCGGGCATAGGAAGAGGGAAGGGAAACCCAAGCAATCCCCCACTCCACTCTCTTTGCAAAGACAGTGGGGGTGGGAGATCACTTAGATCAGGCTTCGCTCCTCTTCCTATTCTCGCTCAGGCATAGGAAGGGGAACCCAAACAATCCCTTATCCCCGTTGTATTTGCAAATACAGTGGGGGCGCGGGATCGCTTGGGTCCCTCTTCCGTCCTTTGGCCCTTTAAAAGGTGTAAAATATATGATGTGGCCCTCATACTGAGAAGTTTGGAGACCCCTGATTTAGACCAGTGATGATCACAGCCATGAGATCTGTAGAGCTTAAGCTTCTCATATGAAAGGGTTATGGAGTTTTCCCCGAAGATCTGCTGTGCTTCCACTGGACAAAGCAGGATTTCTCTGCACGCCCCTTCTGCTTCATTTGAAAGTGCAGCATTTATTCCACCTTATACTCGGCTTTAAATGTGGCTTAGATTATTGGCGCTAAGCAAAAATGGTGCTGAACTTTGATTGCAGGAAGATGGAGAGCTGTAACAGTATTTGCAAGTGCATAACCTCATTTAAAGCCCATGAACGAGGAGTGTCAATTATCACAGCTTCTGTTCCTTTGACGCAGCCAGTAGCATTTTTAATGGACAATAACAAGGTCAGAGAGAGAGCTGTGCTGTTTGCAGATGACTTGACCCAAGTATCCCTCACCCTGAGTTTTCATAAGGATTCCTAATACTTCCTTTCATTTGCATGAAACGAATACTTGCATCTTCTCAAGTCTGAGCTGTTTTTGACTCAAGGGTATTCTGACAGAGAATATGTGAACTACTGGAAAGACAGAGAAGTCCATTTTCTGTAAAAAGTTTCAGCTGCTTTTGAGTATGAAAAGCATTATTTTCACTCCCACACGCGTTGCAATTGTGGAGGTGAAAATGACATCCTCATACAGAATACAGTGAATTTACTTATTTAAAAATTTTTTTTACCCTTTCTTTCTCCTTGAAAAGGACCCAAGGTGGGCGTACAACAATGAAAGACAAATATTTGTTTGAAAACAATGAGTATAAAATGACGGTTAACATCACTAAAAGATGTTATTTAAAAATTATGAATAAGGAAGCATCTTACATCAATTCACAGGCATAATAAAGCCAAAGATTGAGTATACAAAATTTTTAAAAATGTCACTCAGAAATTGAAACTATAAAAATGGAAAACACAGGTACCACTAACAAACTAGTCAAAGCAGTAATGCATAACAATCTATCCAAAAATCAAAGACAGGTAGCTGGTTACTGAGGGAAGGCTTGCCTGAAGAGAAAGGTCTGATGATGACGATGATGATTGTTATTGTTATTATTATTACACATTGAGACAGCCCCATGGTTGTCATGGTGGCCATGAAGTCCTAAGCCGCCCCAGTCAAGGCAGCCTCGGCATGGATGTTGAGGTCCCCCAGCAGCCTGGGAGACTACTTCCGTCAGCTTAGGCAGGGAGACTATTGGTACGCAGCAGGGTGGGCGGTACACCAACAGAATCCCCAATCTGTCTCGTAAGCCCAACACACAATACAGGCCCTAAAGGCCTCCTCTCAAAGAGATAGGAAGCCTGGTCAAAGAGATAGAACTCCTGTAGCAACTCCCTCTCCCCAACCTTCCCAGCGACGTTGGTGCTGGACCGAATAACCAGGCACACAGCGGGGAGAGGGGACCACCACCTTCCACCGAGGTCTCAGTAATACACGCCAGGTCAGCACCCTCCTCCAGAATTACATCATGGATGAGGGCAGTCTTATTTTGTACTGACTTGGCGTTCATCAACAGCGCCGTGTGGCTTGAGGGTTTGCTGATATGGTCGCCTGATACCATCTGGTTGGGGGCAGGACTAGAAGAGGGAATAGATGTAAGGTATCTAACCTCGCTTCTCCTACATGGGCATGTTCTACCTCCACCGCCATTCCTTCCCCTACCCAGCACCACCTCCAACGCCCTCCCCCCTTACTGTTCCCTCAGATCCACTGTGGGTCTCTATGTACATAACCTGATGGCAGTTGATAATCACAATAAAAGACCCTTTTAAAGACCCTTCTCACCCCCCCCTGCCAGGTGGCTGATGTTGAGGAGGGGGTGGGGCAGCCAGAGGCAGCAAGGGCCCAGTCCTGCAAGGCCGAGGGAGTCCAAGCCAAACTTCCCCAGGAAGGCTGGCAACTGGCAGCAGCACAGCCACACTGTCTCTCACTCAGTGTCTGAGGGACGGCAGATGATGAAGACTCCCTGGAAGGCAGGAATGTTGGTCTTTGCCTGCTTGCGAAAGGATAGTAGAAAATGAGTCCAGCCTAGCCTCTGGTGGGAGGGAGTTCCAAAGTCTGGGAGCAGCCACGGAGAAGGCCCTCTCCTGTGTCCCCATATGACACAGCTGTGAAGGTGGCAGGAACAAGAGAAAGGCATCCCTTGATGATCTTAACACCTGATCTGGCTCTTAATGGTGAGATACGGTCTTTGAGATAGCTTGGACTCTGGCCATTTAGGGCTTTATAGGTTAAAACCAGCACTTTAAATTGTGCCCAGTAACTGATTGGAGCAAGAGGAGCTGCTGTATTTTGGACCTCCTGAAGTTTCCTGACACTTTTGGCAGCTTCACATAGAGCGCATTACAGTAATCCCGCTGGAAAGTATCTAGGGTGTGTGGCCGGATCAGATCTCTTGAGAAATGGACATAGCTGGGCACTAGTTTTACCTGTGCAAATGCACTTCTGGCCACCGCTGAGACTGAACATCCAGGTTCAGGGATGAATCCAGGAGCATCCCCAAGTTGAAGGGGACAATAATCAGTTCATTGATTCAAGAACAGCAGGATATTTGTCCAGATATCTTGAGACTGTAGTAGAGATTAGTTTGGTAGCAAGCATATTTTGCTGCATTTAAAAAAACTGCATCAGCAAAGCTGGCCTTATAGGCACTTTCCAGCTCAATTATTCTATTATTTTTTATTTCAATGGCCATTTGGACCTCTTGCTCAAACTTGTGAGCTACACTGCTGTTTGTTCCATATATTGAGCGCCTGTTTACTTGATAAACTATTCTCCTGTAAGTAAATCTGGAGATAAATTGTTTTCCTCAGCCCCTCCCCCCACCAAAACCCTGCTACCATGGATGTGGAGCAACACACTTCTGAATGGCAATGGCTCGCTAGAATTTCACTCTGTGCAGATCTTGCCACATTTACTGCACTTGGTCCACTTCCTAATGCAACTGACAAGTTACAGACTAGTGACAAGGGTAAAGACGTGTCAGAGTTCTGTATATTTGATCGGGAGAGAAGATAATGAAGGGGAGGCATGACAGGTTTGTGCCAATATCTGGAAAGCTGTCATACAAAGGTAGTGAAGATCTGCTTTGTTAGTTTTGAGGGTAGGACTAAAATTGAGGGGTGAAAAAGTGCAAGGGGGTGGGTTTTGGCTAAGTAGTGAAAAAAGTGCCTTAAGGAGAGTATTTCCCTCTGTGAACTGCTTATATTTTAGGAGAGGCTAAATGATGGTCCAGCAGAGACGCCATAGCTGTCCCATTCCTTTCTAAGTAACCTGAGCTAGACTGGGGTGCTTGTTTCCCTCAATAATTGGTTGCCATGTTAGCCCTAGTAGTTAGAGGCAATGGAGAAGGATGATGGGAATTGCACTCAAGCAACATCAGGTGCTTAAGCTATATCGAGACACTAGATTACCTCCAGTGTCTCTTCCAGTCCTGTTATCATGTTCTATCATGTCCAAAGTTAAATTGGGTTCTTTAGGAGAAAAGTGGGGCAAAAATATTTTAAATAAAAAATAAATCCATGCTTAAAAACAGTTTTGATGGCTCCAGCCAACATCTCACAGTTCACTCTACTTTTACAGGGCTATTCCGAGTTGGAAATGAAATAATCCCAGAAGGATAGGATGGTCAGTGAATCAGTACATTTAATGTAGGTACAGAGTTTATTAGAGGGTGTGGTGGGGGAAAAGTAGGAGCATGTTTTAGGGTAACTGGGAACATTTTCTGAAAGCGTATTATGGGGCAAGAGGAGAAACTGGCTGTCTCATTTGGGAGATTAAATCGCCTGCTAATGGAATAAGTACTAATGATTTTTCTCATTTGAAGCATTGACATTAATTAGAATAATCACAATAACAAAACAAAATCAGATATAGTTAATAAGAGTTTAATTGATACTTACTGATTTCACACGTAGTAAAGGTTCATAACAATCACCTAGTGTTCTTAAAGAATTCTTAACAAATTGCCTGAAGGACAGCACAACTGCAATACACTTCTCCCTTCATCGATGCTGGGATGAGGAGCGCCAGACCTTTCTGTAGATCAAAATTCTTGTATAACTCTTATGCCCCCCCCCAAAAAAATATAACTACAAAACATAGTTAAGCGCCAGACCTTTCTGTAGATCAAAATTCATGTAAAACTCTTATGCCCCCCCCCCAAAATATAACTACAAAACATAGTTGATTAACATAGAGAGGATAGTTCCTTCTGTTGGGGTTCTCTTCCATAACATTGACAATTCTTTCCATACTGTGTGTAATGAGCCTTAAAGATCCGTATGATTTCTTGAATCACAGATGTTATGTTTGGGAGTAAGTAGACCACCTTCAGCATCGAACTCATGGATTTCTGAGTGGTCAGGGGCACAGTATTGAATACTTATATACTGATTTATTGGGGGGGGACTGTATAACCCAAACCATGCTGTTCAGACCTTTGCAATTGAAGGGAGAAGTGTACCCTTATCAAACGCTTAGCAAATCTGCTGCACTGTAAATTTCAGCCCTTCCTTCTGTTACTGTATTGTAATGATATTTTTACACAAAGCAGGTGCACGCTGCTGTCATGCACCTGTCATTCACTTTCAGAAGGTTCCCACATAAGACTTATTCAGTGGGATGGAGGCAATGCAATAGGAGCTTCTGTACTCGATGGCCCACTGAACCCATATGTTTTTCAGGCGGATTTGCCAAAGCCAGCAGCAAAGCAAGTAAAAGAAATGAAGGAGAGCAGGTTGGAAAACAAGGAACTCGCTTATCGTAGAAAAGCCGCTGTGGGAATGAAAAGCGGCCAAGTACAAGAGAAACAGATGCTGGCTGGAGTGAACAAGCCTCTTCAGATTGAAGTGGTGAGTTTGTTTTTTAGAAAACATACTATTGATGCACGAAACTGTACATGGCTTGTTGAAAGCACTGCTTTTCAGGCTCTGCTTTCCCCCTTTAGAAAATGTTAAGCACGGATGAGAAACAGAAAAACAAACAAAGGTTCCTTCTCTCGTCTCAAATGAATGTTTTTGCTAAACTTGTCACTTCCCAACTAGTCCATTTTAAAATGGTGGTAATTCTTGATTACTCTCCTCTGCTACTTCATCTCCAAGCTAAATTGACTGGACCTGATTTGGTGTTGCCCACGTCCCTTATCAGTCTCCGTAACCATGTAAGCACTTTACGTATACCTCCTAAATGCACTGGCAATGTGTAGTGGCTCATTCATACACTGCTACATACAAACAGCTGCTGGACAGATTAGGTGAATTCAGACATAATGGGGTGGAGTGTTGAATGGTGGAATGTTTACATGGCAAGGGCTTTGGCTATAGCTTGTATTCTATGTAAACTGAGCCTGATGTGCACGTTAATTTTGCCCTCCTCCCTTGCACTACTTCTAGTAGCCACACTTAAGCCATACTATTCCCATAAGGCTGCGAATAATAATCTGTAGGAAGCAAACTAGAATGATAAGCTGCAGCACTATAATGTAGATCTAAGCATGCAATGGAACATGAGCAGAGACTTCTGACTTATATACCCTCCACCAAGAGAGGTTTGTAGGCTAGCAGAGACCTCTCAGCATGTGAAGGCACAGCAAGGCCAGTGGCTTAGTGCACCAGAAGGAAATGTAGGGTTCTGCCAAGTGTTTGGAGGAAAACCATTTCTGGCACAAGCAGGATTTGGGGTGGGGGTGGGGGGAGGGACATTGGTAATGTTGCCAATCTGATCTGGTGGCTGATATAATAGCACTTGGGACTTGCCCCTTCTCAATTACCAATAGGAAGGTAGCGCTTTGTATAGAAAGGGCTGTGTTTGAAAAGATTACCCTTCAAAGAGAATGAACAAATAACAGTTGAGCCCATGTTTCACTGATCTGAAAAGTCTGTTCCAATCCTAGGACTGTACTTGGAAAAAAATAGTCTCAAACGGCCTTCCAGCATGTCATCTTTCCCAGGACCAATGTTGCCTAAAGCCATTGGAATGGGTTGTTAATTTTTGGCCTAGAAAGGAAACACACCAAGTATATTTGCATGCATGCTTCTTATATTATATAGGGGCACTAAAGACCCTTGCATTCCTTGCAGTCAACAGCTACAAGCAAACAGTTGCTCCCCCATCTCAAGGTGCTTCATTAATTCTCTTTCAACTGTCTGTTAAATAACTGGCATTTATTTATTCTTCCTTAGGAAAACACAGAACCACCATACAGTACTTATCCCTACAAGTCCTTCCAGAAAACTGAAGACAAATGCATAGAAAATGGAGTTACATTTCCACCAGTCTGCCAGCCCGAACGCCTTCAAAAGTTGACTAGCCCCACAGCATGCAGGAATTCAGAGCCAGGACTACATGAAACATTGTACCAATATGTCATAGCCATTATTATCCTTGTCTTCTTAATATTTCTTGCCTTGTATTTCCTTTGATATCTTCAGGAATGTGCATTTCTAGTCTTTAGTTATATGCATATACATTGTGAGAAATTCCGTTTCAGACTTCCTTCATAGACATTTTCAGTGTGATCTGCTGCAAAAAAAATTCAAATCAAAGGTGAATTGTTTGAAACTGAAATGTAATAAACTTTTTGCACTTAGCCCATAATGTTCTCCAGTATACTTATTATCAAAAAAACAATGAAAAAATAATTTTAAATTCAAACAATTAACCCTCCCCCACATGCAGAGTATCAAAATACTTAACTGGTATTTGAAACATGCAATCATAAATTTTGCAAGAGGTATTATATCAAAAGATGCATATTTATTTCAATTTCATGTGAAATAATAGCTGCATCTTATTATTTTTATGGGCACAGGAAAGGCATTGTGGACATTGTACATCTAATTGACAAGGTGCTAGCTATACATTCAAAAATGTAATAGGATTCTGCCCAATAACTGTAATATAGATATTGTGATTATTATAAAGCTACATTACTTTTTCTTACCTTGTTACAATAGGGACATTCACCAAATATGACATTAAAACTCTGTCGACTAGAAGGAAGCCCACGCAGCCACTGTAGGGAAACACAGTTTGTTAAACTGTTAACAGGTGCTGTAAAACTCTGTCGACTAGAAGGAAGCCCACGTAGCCACTGTAGGGAAACACAGTTTTGTTAAACTGAGCAGATTAAGGCCCAGGATGAGACTAAGAAAAGGTCTTAATCAAGAGGAGAATCTGATACAATGGTTATAAAAGGGAAGAGTGGCAAAATGAGGAATACTGGCCCAGGATGAGACTAAGAAAAGGTCTTAAATCAAGAGGAGAATCTGATGGTTGTTACAAGGCTGAGTTAGATAAGAGCAATGGCAATAAACCAGAATCGCCAGACATTCATTTAAATGAACGAACACAGGAAGAAAACCTCAGAATTTGGATTATTGTTTTTCCCTTTTAATATTCCATAGAGCTCAACACATTTTGGCCCTCCCTCAGGGTCTAAACCAGATTCTTTAGTGCTTTAATTGTGGTGCAATTTCCTTTACACTGATAGAGGGCTGAAACGTATCAAGCTCCACAGGATAATAAAAAGAAACAAGCATTTTGAGATTTCTTCCTTGGTTCATACATCTTGTCCAAGCCAAAAGGAAAAAGAAAAAAAATTACTACTACAAGGCATTCACCACAGGACTGAATTGGTACACGTCACTCTGCAAGATGGCCTTTTGTGGGAATCTGACAGAGGTTTAGTTGCTAGCGAGCGTCTCCTCTCCAATTAGAGGATAATTTACTTGGCCTGGACAGGGTTATACTCCACCTAAAAGACTGGGTTTGCAATTTGGGCACTGTCCTGCATTGCCTTCATAATACAGTGGTGCCCCGTATAGCGAGGTTAATCCGTTCCGGATTAACCTTCGCTATGCGAAAACATAGTACGGGCAAGGAAAGCATTAGTTTAATGCGTTCCTATAAGCGTCCAAACTTACCCCTCCAGCGATGTTTTCGCGTCCGGCGGCCATTCTGGAGCCGCCGATCAGCTGTTCGGCGGCTCCAAGTTAAGCGAGGCACCACTGTATCAACTTTTGGCCGTGACAGGGGATAGGCTAAGCTTTTAATTGCCCCCAAATGGCTAAAGCTGATGTTATCAGTTGCTTGACATAAAGTTGCTCAATAGGATTTCAGCCAATATGTACTATGGATTTCATATGTGCAGAAAATAAGATGCCAGATTAATCCCCACATCAGTTACATCCTAGGTGTTAAATCAACCAGTGGACAATCAGGACAGGATTCTCCTCTCTGGGTGAGAAGCTATTACCCAGCAGGAGACCAGCATTGGGTGGTGGGCCCACACTTTCAGAACATACTTTCCTAAGAGGTCAGTGTTGCCTTATGGTTTCTCTGTGGGATAACAGCTAATATACATAAGTATTATAATGAGATGGGCACAATACTGCATGTCCTTTGGAAAAATGCAAATTATTCATCCATACTGTTTCCAACCCTGCATTTATAAATGCAAAGTGAATATCTATTGAAATCACCCCAGCATCATCCCCCATCAATGAGGATCTTTTTAAAAAGGTATCTTAACTATGTAAGAAACAAATAAAATCAAACTCACCAAAACAAAAAAATGATAAAGGGATAATCTATAAATTTTCTAAACATCTGGATTACATTCGTTTTCAGTTATCTAGTCCAAGTATACATACAATGGGGCTGCCTTTGAGGCTGCTGCGGAAACTACAGGTGGTGCAGAATGCGGCGGCCAGATTACTCAGTGGAGTGAGAAAATTCCAACATATCTCGCCCACTCTGGCCGCATTGCATTGGCTGCCCATACGATTCCGCATTGACTTCAAAGTGCTGTCGCTTATGTATAAAGCCCTAAACGGTTTAGGGCCTCGATATTTGGTGGAACGCCTACTCCCACCAAGATCTACCCGTGTCACCCGCGCGAGCCAGGAGGTGAGGCTGAGGAGCCTAACGCCGAGGGAGGCCTGGAAGGAAAAGACAAGAAACCAGGCCTTCTCGGCAGTGGCTCCTTGCCTCCCGAACAATCTACTTCCTGGGATTCGCGGGCCTCCCTCGCTGGGTATCTTTAAGAATCAATTAAAGACATGGTTATTTCGGCAGGCCTTTCCTCCAGACAATCCCTGATGATCCTCTTTCTTTCCTCTCTACTTGGTTTCTTCCCTTGTAAAGTTTTATTATTTATCCTGGTTTATATATGTATAGCTTTATTATTTGATTATTGTGAGCTGCCTAGAGTGGTCCTGAGTTGGCTAGATAGGCGGGATATAAATAAAATAAATAATAAGTATAGATAGCCAACTAGAATATAGTACTGAACGTTTCAGATTATTTTACCTCATATAAACAAGCTTGATGGAAAGACTGGCCACAGCGGGAGTCATTGCAAACTTGATCAGGAATAGTTCCATCAAGACGATATGCATAGCAGATCCCACAATCCATGGAAAAGTCCTTTAAACAAGCAAGGAAACAGAACAGAATGCAGGTACAGTACATCCAATGAATTGCCGTGTTTTCTTTTGTGAATGAAATCCTGTTGATCAGTGAGTCATAAGCAGAATAGGCCCACTGAATCAGTGGGGATATAGAGAGTCTCCTCCATAAATCTTACTGATTCGGTAGGCCTACTCTAGTTGCAAATAAATCCACTAAGCAACAGGAATTCAGCTTATTTTTACTTGTTTCCATACTTCAACATTTCCCCAAGTTTTACTCATTTTAAATAACCACATGATTTCATAATATATCAGAGTTTATTTATGACAATGGACGAAAGCCTACACCTAATCCCTCAATTACAAATGTGTACCGAAGCTGAAAGAACCCTAATTAATTTTTCAACACTTTGTAGAAGTTTATTTTTCATGAAAAAATTTATAGAGGCCATAGATGGCAGATAACATTTGAGGTACTTCCCTATTACTTAGAATACCATGTCTATGATGGTAGGTCCATAGGTCTACTAAACTTATCCAAAAACAAGGACAATAAGCTTTTCTTTCTGTTACAACTGTTCTCTTGCTTATATGCCAATTTAACTAATTAACATTCTTAATTAATTGACTGAAATATCTTTAATCAGGTGACAGCCCTGCAAATTTATCACTCAAGGGACAAGCCAAACAGTGATTCCTTACACACATGTATAGAAATAAGTGCTGTCTTAATAAAATCAACCCACAAATGTAAAGGACATCTTTACAGAATACACAATCAAATTATTGGATATAAACAGACTAAAGCTTTCTGAAGTGGACTGATCCTTGGATTAACCCCAAAAATTCTATTTCAATTCATCTTGATACTGAGGATATTTTGTGGGAAATGACTTTCAGTGACAGAATTGCAATAAAGTACTATTAACTCATGTGGTACACTGTGTGGATAATGTAAGATGTTTCAGTGGTGCCTCGCATAGTGATTGCTTCGTATAGCGATGAAATCGCTTTGCGACGAAGATTTTGCAATCGCTTTTGCGATCGCTTTGCGATGGTCCCTATGGGGGAATTTCGCTTTGTGATGATCGGTTCCCTGCTTGGGGAACCGATCATCGCAAAGCAATGCTTTTTAACAGCTGATCAGCGCCGCACGCTACCCCCCCGGCGCGCAGTCCTAGGTGCTGCAGAGCTAATGCATAAATAGGGGACGGCGGGAGGGGGGATGCTCCGGATTGGCGCCTCGGGAGGAGGGAGGGAAGGGGGATGAAGGGCCTGGCCCCGATCCCCGTGCGCACTTCTGGGGCGGCAAGCCAGAGAGCTGTTGCGGCGGGAGGCACTGCAAAGGAGGCGACCAGGTACTGTTCCTTCCACAGCTTATACTGTAGACACAATTTCTGTATTGCCTTTCATTGCATGTTATAAGTTGCATTTTTCCTCTACAGAATTTTCCCACTTCCAAAGATCTGGCTGCTACTATCCATCTACATTTGAAGAGCATTCAGAAATTTGCTGGACAGCAATGGCTGAAGAGAGAACTTAGAGCAGGTCTTTTACTCACTAGTAAGCTGACTCACTCTGTGTGAGATAATTTTGTCCATACTTCATCCGATAGCTTTTAATTAAAAAAGGGACACAAAAACTTTTGAAACACTGTTCAGAATTCACCAAATAAAGGAACCCCCCCCCACACACACACATTCATCAAAATACATGAAGAATGTGCATTAAGTGACAGCATGAAAGAGGACATTTTGCATCGTGCCCAAACATTAAGCACTGTTTTCAAGTTATGCTATGTAACAAGCACAAGTGAATAATATCATTGGGTAGTGTGTAAGTTGGCTGATTAGTATATGAATTTTCCCCTTTGCACAACCAATATGAATGAGGCAATGTACAAAACAGATGTGCCAGCTATGTTTATTGATAAGGAAATCTATCAAACATGTGTAGGCAATGTACAAACTCTGCACAGAGACTATGTACCTCAATCAGTTTGTACATTATCTGAAATCTAATCACAGTTATTAATATTAAATGGACAAAATACAAAACCAATTTATACTTTCTTGTAAGTCTAAATATATATATTTGAATAGAGGAAACACAGAGCAATAAAATTTATTAAAACAATCACGTAAGAAACAGCATCAGACTATTCAAAAGCCATTAAAAGCTTGGCAGAATTGAAATGTCAGGGCCAGCTGAACATCCCTTGGAAAAAAGTTCTACAACCCAAATGTTACCAGCAAGAAAGCCAAGTTTCTTGTCATTGGCAAACAAAGTCAGGCTCCTGATGACAACCCCAACTGACAGGCTTTGAAGTAGTAGTTCTTCAAATCTCTCGAAGAAATTCCCAGCTGGCGTCCATGTTATAGACAACAACAAATAAGCTTTGATTTGCTGTTGTTT